GCCGGTGTCACTGCTCCCAGAACAAAATGTCAACCCATGCAAATGAGACTGCGGGAGCGGCTGATTGAGAGGCCCTGCCCCGCCCCGGAGTTGCAATCAAATATGCAAATGGCTCCCGAGGAGGCTAGTGAAGGCTATTAATAGCTGGGATGAGGCTGGGAGAAAGCATGGTGTTCCTGAGGGAATGAGCCCGGGGATGAGCTGGTTCTGCTTGTCCCTCTGCCCAGCGTGTCCCTGTCCACAATGCCCTGGGCAGGTGACAGGTAGCCCCTGCAGGGAGCCCGTGGGCACCAGGTATAGCTTTGGCCACCGTCACCCTTTGCAGGGCAGGTACTGCCAGTGCCCAGTGTCCGCAGGGAAACCCTGTGGGAAAATCACAGCTGCTGAAAACCCTGCACTGAGATTTCAGCCCTGGGGAGTCAAACCAGGAGGGATGAGGTGCCCAACGGGATCTGGGCTCCACTGGGGGCTTTACTGTGGCTCAACCTGAGCAAGGAACTCAGCCTGGGCCAGCTGACACTGTGCTAGAGTAGGGAGGGAGAAAGGGACTCCCTCCCACCCCACCATCCTCCACCCTGTGTTTCCATACCCCCTTCCCTCTCCTGGCTTCCCTCTGTTGCCTTTGAGGCAGAGGATGTCCCTCTCCTGCCAGCACCAGCATGAGTACATGGCACTGGTGGGAGCCATGCTGTCCCCAGTGTCCCCAGCCAGCTCAGGAGTCTTGGTGTGCTTGGCCCCTGCTGCAGTCCCTCCACTCCATCTCATGGGTTTTGGGATCCAGGAACCATCTGACCTTTTTATAGAAAAATGTGGAAGTTGGGCTGGAGTCAACAGTAACTAATTATTTAAAATCTGAAACTGGAATAATTAGCCCAATTAACAGTCTCAGGTGACGTCTGATTCCATCTGATAACAGCCCAAGGAAGAGGGAAATTAATTAACCTGTCAGCCTGACATTTGTAGGTCACCACTGGCTTCTTGTGATGTCAGGGTGGGCGCAGGGGAAGTTTGCGGGGTCCTGTCTCGTTGCAGGGGGTCTGCAGCCTTTGGGGGTCCCAGTGCAGGGAGGGGGCTGTGGGTGAGCCCAGGTGTTATCTAGAGAGATGGATTGGGGGCTGCTGGCTGGGTGGGACAGCGTGCTGTATGAGGCCAGGGTGCTGGGCAGGGAGATGGGCTGGGTGTCCCCCAGAAATGCTATAGCCGGTCCATTGGTGAGGCGGCACCTGTGGGCCTTTAAGGTTGCTGTGGAAACGGGCTGCTCGTTACTAGGAGGAGCCTCCTGCTTTCCAGGCGGCCCCCCCCCATGCCTGCAGGAGGGGACCCCCACCCCGGGCACCTGGGACTGCACAGACCCCTGTGTCTGCAGAGGGACATGGCATGGGCACGACTGTGGCTATGCAGGATGGTGGCCTTGGGCCACCCCCTGCATGCAGCACGGACCCCTCAGCCCAGCTTGCCCTTGGCATGGCCAGTGGTGCCAGGGAGGGCTGTGCATGCCTGGACACACCTGGACACACCCGGAGTCACATGGATACGTGCACACATGTGCATCCTGACCTGCCTGTGCAGCCCAGCTGTGTCCCCTGCGGACCCTGTCCTCGCACCTCGGCTGGCACATGGACCTGGCCTGGCTCCCCCTGGCAAGGCACGGGGCCCACGGGGAACAGAGTGTGCCGAGGCAGAGCCCCTGGACACAGCCTGGTGCCGCGCTCAGCTCTTGGAGTTTTAATGAGGCAAATTGTATAAAAAGCTCCGTTTGCCCTAAATGCCCATCCCTGCGTGAAGCTGCTGTGGCGCAGCCTTGGCACACCCTGGGAGCTGGGCAGGGGGCTATGGGGCTGGGCACATGCTCCCGGGCTGGGCACGTGGCAGTGGCAGGAGGAGGAGGAGGAGGACGAAGGCGGTTTAGCACATTTGCAGTCATTTCCCTCCTCCCCCCCAAGTTTACAGCTTACCTCAGCGGCTTATCAGCCTCCAATCTCATTAAATCAGGCAAATTGTAGCATCTGATATTTTATGGAGATTAAGGTGTGCGCCTAGACTCTATAATTATCGGCAAAGATATATTTACAATACCTTGTTGCTAGTAAACAAAAAATAACTTCAGATCAAAGCTCTTACAGGGGAATAAATCTGCCCATCGAGCCCCGCTGCGGCGCATGGTGGGGAGACACCGGAGCCGCCCAGGGTGGGTGGGCAGGATGGGGGGACGCGCAGGGGGCGTTTCAGGGATGCCCCAGTCCCACGTGGCCAAGTCCCACGTGCTGGATCCATCCCCAGGGTCTTCCTTGCTGGCATGTCCCATGAGAGCCTGGTTGCACCCACTCCTCCGGCCACGGCTCCACTGGGGATTTCCACCCCAGGGACCTCCCTGCTGAGACAAGCTCTGGATTTATCAGCACGTGTGCGTTGCCCCTGGATTCCTCACGGTGGTGGGAGTGCTGCGGATTACCGATGTGGTGACACTGGTTTATTGCTGCCTGAAGTGGATTTATCCGTGTGGCAGGGCCCAGGCTCGCTGCCGGTGTAAATCACCATGGCATGGCTGGCAGGAGCCTCCATGCTATGGCTGCATCCCAACAGGCCCTAGGCATTCCAGCTTCCCTGGGGGTTTCGTAGCTAGGCTCTCTGTGGGACCGTGTGCTCCACAGATCAGCTGCCCCTTCTCCATCTCACTCTTGTGCCCACTGAAACGAGAATAAAATGGTGATAATGCTGCAGACATCCTCTGGAAAGGACTCTGAGGCAGATGAAAAGCCCTACTTAAGAGAGAGGCCATTATTATTAATAACTCGGAGCGAGGCTGTAAATTCAGCCGACACAGCTATTATGGGAAATGAACCTGCTCCCGTGCTGGATTGCAGGCTGCCAGGTGTGGGATGAAGATGGGCACAGGAGAGCAGGGCTGCATGGCCCCATGGCTGCTGGCTAGGTCATGTCCACAGCTGAGGCAGCATGGCCAGAGGAGCCAAAACCACCTGACTCCATCTGGGCTCTCTGGGATGATTTCTTGGCTTTTCTGGTAAGGCTGGAGGTTGGAGGGAGGGATCCTGGGCACAGGTCTCCTCCCAGAGGGAAGGGAGGTGACTGAGTTTAACAATGAGGCTGAGACCTGGCCCAAGCTCAGGTCAGGGGTGATGCAGGATATGAGGAGCATGGTCAGAGCTGGGTTAGAGAGCTGGGAGAGGCCAGGGTGGTGCAGTGGGCCTGGGGCTGGTCTGGGCAGGACCCACCGTGGCTATCCTGGGCTGACTGTGCCCAGCTGGCGAGTGTCCAGGACAGTATCACACCTTGGCAAAGGTTGCATTAAAATAAAAAAAACTTGGTACCATTCAGTGCCCAGTGCCTGCAGCCAGGTCAGAAAAAGGCAAAGCTGCCACGGCTGCCATTCCATCAGAATGACTTCACCTCAGGCACTGTCACCCCAGAGCGGGACAGCCCTGGGGCTGGCGGGTGCCCAGGGTCGGGTAGGGGGTGCCGTGGGGGTGTGGAGTTCCATGAGGGTGCCACATGGGTGTCACGGAGGTGTGGAGCAGCAGCCATGGGCTCGTGGTGCTGCCTGTACCCAGCTCAGGAGCTTCTGCGGAGGAACGAGCTTTGATATAAATATCTTTTTGCTCAGCACACGACCTACTTTCCAGACAATGCCATTAGCCTCCCGACTCCCTCATTCATCTTCTGCTGTCCTCCCCCAGCCCTCCCTGCACTGGCACCCGTGCCAGCACGGCACACTGGCCGTGGAGTGGTGAGCCAGGACGGGCACCTGGCTCAGTGGCACCACGGGGACCCCGTGCTGGGCTTGGGGCCAGCCAGAAACCCCATTCTCACAGCTGGCAGGGGGCTGTTGCTGCCTGTCCTCTGCCCCTGCTCTGGTGCTGTAGAGAGGGTACTGTTGGGGGTTCCTCCACCCCATCCCATAGGATACTCAGATTGGTCTCCCTTCCTGCAGCCTCCAGCCCCATTCTCTTCAAAGTAAGTGATCTGGGTGGCAAACAGCCTCACCCAGGGACATCTTCACCCAGGCACAGTCTCACTGGGTACATCCTGGTCAGGGCAGAGGGGAGCACAGTGAAACAAACACTCATTGGCTCAGGGCTGGCCCAGGGGAGGGTGTGGGGTCAGGACCCCTCCTGAGCATCCCCAGAGCATCCCTGGTGCTGGGCCCACACATGTGGTTCATGTGAGGATGATCCCACAGGAGCTCCCACATGCTGGCAGAGGCTGTGTTGTGCAGTTGGCAGCTGGTGAGTGGCAGGTGGGAATAGGGGCAGGTGGGGCAGAGGGTGCACAGTTCCATTGGCATGACACTGTCCAGCCCCTCTGGCTTATGGCAATGGCCCTGACACCAGTTTTCCCCCAAGAGCTGGAAGCACCTCTCCAGGCCCACCATCTGCACACCTCCGTGTACCCCTGGGATGAGCCCCCACTCCTCCCCTGCAGCTAAAATTAAATATTCAATTTGTATTGCTGATAAATCCTGCAAATCTCTTTTCTCTCTAAGCTGTTGTAGCAGGAATATCGGTGGTGTAATCTTCATGGGGGCTTGTCCCGCTGCCCTTCACAGCTCCCCAGCTTAGACCACACTCCCTTTTCCCCACATTTCTCTTGGGATGCTTCTGATGGTGGAGCAGGTCTCCAGTGCCAACAGCAGAGCACCCCATGGCACCCATTCTGTGGGTGCTGCTGGCTTTGGGGACAGGGGTGTGCATGGTCCCCAAACTGTGATGGAGCTGCTCTTGGCCCAGGTGATCCAGGTGGTCCCACCAGAGCATTCCCCCATGCCCACCATGTCCTCACTCACCAGCCGTGCCCCCCCTCCCCTTGCTCTGTCCCCACGCTAAGAGCATTGTGCAGAATTATGTATTTAAATATTTAGGTTTTCATCAGCTTTGCAAATTAAGCCCATCCATTAAAGCGGCAGTTTGGCTCTGCTGGCAAGCTGGGCTGTGCCATGCCTCGGGCTCTCTGTGCTCATCCCAGCCCTGGCCCCGAGGGATGCAGCCTGGGAATGGGATGTGATGGCCCAGAGCATCCCTGCTGGCACAAGGACCAAGGGCTCTGCTTCCTCTCCATTCCTGGAAACTTTGGCCCAGCTGCAGGAGAGCCGTGGGAGGGGATGGCGCCATGAAGGGAACCAGTCTGGACTGGTTGTTATTTGGGGTGGAGTGGAGAATGCCGAGTGCTGGAGAAAGCAGGATGAGAAGCAATGCTGGTGACAGGTGAGAGCCCTGGCTCAGCAAGCACCTGGCAGGAGCAGAGCAGGGATGGCAGTGCCAGCCTGATGGAGGCTCAGTGGGAGTAAAGCTGGGGATGGAAGGGTCAGCTTGCCCAGGGGTTTGGAGGAAATGGGCAGGAGATGGCCAGAGCTGCCATGCTCAGTGAGAAGGCTGTGCTGTCCCGAGCTCACCAAAGAGGCTCTGGAGTGATCCCTGGCTTAAGTCAATATCCCATGGCTGGGGAGTAAGTGGCTCTTTAAGCCTCGGCAGCATGGTCTAGCTGGTGGCTCCATGTGGCAGGAGGGAAAAATGTGGGTGATGGGGAAATGAGGTTCATCCAGCACTCCTGCCAGCTGGGGACCCTGGCACAGCTGCAGGGCCTGAGGGGGCTGCCATGGCCCCCAGTGGCTCTGGCACAGGCAGATCTAACTCCTGGGGGATGCTGGAGCCCCCTGCCTGCCTGGGGCAGTGCTGGAGTGAAGAGCCCGGTGGGAGTGTGGGCAGAGCCCTCAGGGTGAGCGCAGCACAGGGGGATGTCCCTGCTTGTTCCTCCCCTTTGCTGCAGGTGAACATCAAGCTGTGGTCTCCCCGTGGGCTCCCCAGTGTCACCTGCATGTCCCCCTTTCCCACCAAGGCCTGGAGGGCACCCGAGCAGCGTGCTGGCTGCCGCTGGCTGCAGGCAGCGCAGGAAGATGTTGAGTGTGTCCAAGGGAGGGGAGCTGTCCATGGGCATCACTGGTGCAGCTCAGTGCCCACAGTCCCTGTGCCAGCTGTCATGGGCTGGAGTCCCTGGAGCCCTGCCTGGCCAGGGGATCTCTCCACAGTGGTCTCCCAACTCAGCTGGCTGCACTCCTGACACTCTGGCCGTGGGATCCCACCTCTGGCAGTTGATGCCCTCTGTGCCATGTCCTGGCTCCTGTGGGCAGGATGAGCATTGCTGTGGGGCTGAGGGGGCTGGAGGTGCCTGTGCCATGGGGCTTCTGGCTTCTTACCCCTGCCAGCCTTTCCTCTGCCTGCACCTACACAGGGATGCTGCCATGGCCATTCCCTGTGCCACCCCTTTCCTTCTCAGCCAGGTTCCTGGGATCTGGCTGCCATGCCCAGGTGTTCCCCGTCCTAAAGGGCTTTTGAAGATGCGGCTCTTCCACCAAGATCTGGTTTAGGCTTTGCAGGGCTGGAGTGTCAGACTCCTTTCTCTGCTGGCTCTGCCTTCGCAGCTCCAGGATGCTCCAGCTCTTTTGCACACCCAGCACAGCAGCACGGCTCTAGCCCCCAAAGAATCAGGTCTGGGGCCAGGGTGGGTGGTCCTGGGCTGTGTGTGCCGTGCTGGGAGGGGGTTCCAGTTCCCCCCGTGGTAGCAAAAGCCAAAGCCAGTGATGTTGTGGCAGGGAGTCCCAGTGCTGGCAGCCGTGCAGGGATCCCTGGCAGCTGGGCACATCGTGGCCGTATTTCCTCGCTCTGCTCCAGGAGTAATTGCTCAGATGGGGACGTGGGGCAACTCCCATCCCTCTCCCGGCATGGTAATGAGTGAAGAAGAACTCAAAGACAAATGGCTCATTAAGAAGCAGTGCTGCATTGCAGGATTTTTCATCCCACCAACCGCTGCATCAGCAGAGGCAGCACCTCTCGCGCTCGCTCTCCCAGCCCTGGAGAAGGAGCTGTCAGGCAGCTGGGGCTGGTGCCAAAATTAATCATGTGCTTAATAACGTGCCCAGCCCGTTGAACAGCCTGTCCTCAGCCTCCCAGTGTGTGGAGCAGGGCTGCCATGCTGGACTGGAGCCCCGGGGCACTGTGGATTTGGGTTTGGTGCCTGGGAAGTGCCCATGCTCAGGAAGAAAGGATGTGCCAGGGCACGGCTGAGCCAGGGGAGATACCCCCAGCCTCGGGGTCCCAGAGTCCCCCAGTTATGTCAGGGCACCAGGGTTCCCCAGATTTGTTGGGGTGCTAGAGCCCCCCGCCCTGTTGAGGTCCCAGCCAGTTGTGCTGGCTTCTGTGGCCGTCTCTGTGGCCGTCTCTGTGGCCTCGGTAAACACTTCCTGCTCCACTCACATCTCCAATTCCTAAGCTTTTGTTCATTTGTCATGACTTTTTAAAAATCTTGCCTCATCCCTTTTTTCCGGCGGTGCCCAGTTGGATCCTACCCCTCACAGCCCTCTGCAGGCAGTGCCTGCCTGCAGCTGCTCTGCTTTCTTTTAGTAACAGTAATTTGTTTTGATTTCCTGATTGCAGCCAGTGTATTTGCTGTGATCTTAGCATCCTGCTCACACTGTTTTCCTCTTCTCCTTTTCCTCTTTCCCTTTTGTTTTTTCCACTTCCCCCTTTTCTCTTTCCTTCTCCTCTTTTATATCCCCTTTACTTTCCTATTCCCTTTCCCTTTCTTCACCTTTCCCCTTTCCCCTTTCTGTGCTAAATTAGGTGATCTCTTACTAAGCCACTCTTTTATTTTCCTCCAGGCTGAGTAAATGTTACTAATTCAACCTCATAAAATAACAGAACAATTAGTAATAAAATAAAATGTTTGCTTTCCACAATCCTTCTCTCTTACAATGAGTGGGGAAAGAGTAAATAGATTAAAAGCATGGTGGAAACGACCTGGCAGTATTCCATATTTATTTTCTTCCAACGACCGTAGATCAAATTTGTTCAGCCCCTAAGTGGGAAAACCACTTTATTTTATTTTTTTCCCCGGCTCCAGCTCGCGCGCAGTGCCGGGCGCTCACGCTGTGTGTTTGTTCTCTCCCGCTTTCATCCCGAGCCATAAAGGTCCCCAGCAGGACCCAAGCTGGCAGAACCTTGCATTAATTTGCAGAGCAGTTCGGGCCGAGCTCGCGCCTCTTGCAGGCTGGAAGCTGGAAAAAAGTCCCTTTGGTGAGGCTGGAAAGCCGGGGTGGCGGGAGGAGGTTTTGTGGAGCAAGTGGCCAGATCCAGAGCAAATGAAAGTCGATGGTGAGGTGGCCGCTGGGCCAGCTCTGCACCTGCTGGCAGGGAATTGCATAAAAAGATGGGACTGGGGATGGTTTTGGGGCTAAACTGGGTGAAACACGTGGCTGTGGCTGTGCAGAGCTGTCCCCGCTGCCGTGCTGGTGTGGGGTGGTCTCAGGGGAGGATGGAAGGCTGGGCTGATAAAAATACAGGGGGAGGTGTCTCAGGCTGGTTTTGGGGAGGAACACCCTTGCTCTGGCTTCACCCCACTCCTGTTCCTCCCCCAGAGCCTGCTGCCCCAGGGATTCCCAGTGTGGAGGAGCTGCTGCTGGTGGGGCCATGAGGACAGCATCCCCCTGAGTGCTGGGTGGTGAGTGACACCAACAGGTTTCACTGGGACCCCGGTATGGGCTGCCCTTGGTGGGGCTGCTGGGGAAAGCAGGGGGCCAAGACCCCCTGAGGGCAGGGCCATCAACCCCAGCTCTTGGGGTTAGACCTAGAAGTGCTGGAAAACCCAGGCCCTGTGTTAGGGTGGTTTGCCAGACCCAGACGCTGTGGTGGGATTTTGACATCCTCTCACCTCCCTGCTGATGTTCCTGGAGCTTGAGGAAAGATGGGAGGATCCTGGGTGCTATGGGGTCCCAGGGAAGCTCAGGCTCCTGGTGGGTCTGCCCTGAATCCCTATAGCCCTGGGCCTTTGCACAGCACTGCCTTCAAGGCAGGGATCTCCTGGGGCAGCTGGTGGGAAGTGGAACTGCCTCTGCCAAGTGCTCCTATGGGAAATTAAGAAGGAGACTGAATTTCAGGATGGCTTTGAGCACCAGGGACTATGAGCCACTCTCCTCCCTGTGCTGACCCTTGCAATGGGGAGAGACATCAGAGGGAGGTGTGATGGGTGGGGAGTGGTGGGGAGTTTCTCCCAGCGCAGGATGCAATAAAGGCGAGGAGTGAGTTATTTGTAATGGTAATTATGCTCTTCCAGTTTATCCTAGCACATAATTGTGTGGGCGGTAGGTTCCCACTGGTGGTAATTACCCTGGTGTTAAATGGCACAAAATTCAGCTGGGCTGGGTTTTCCCCCCCTGACTTAAATCTGTGCTTTGGTGGCACAAATCCCTCCATCCCAAGGGCTGCTCCATGGATTGGCCTTTGGAGGGACACAGCTCCAGCTCTCAGCCATCTGCTCATGAGCCAGGCTCTGGCCAGCTGCCCCAGTCCCATGTACCAGCCTGCCCACACTACCCTCCAGGCACAGGGGACAGGAGTAGGCTCTGTGGCCTCTCCCATCCTCTGCAGGTGGCCATTCCTACTGGCACATGGGAACGGGGACCCTGAGCTGAGCCCCACAGCGTCACTCCCAACCCCTTCTCCTTCCCGAGGTTGCTCTCAGGGAGCCCGGCTGGTCCCTGGGCAGGGCATAGACGCCTTTGTCGCCTTGGTGAGCTGGGACATAGATCCTCCGCCACGGCATGATGTCCCCACCCGCTGCCAGCGCTCCACAGGTGCGGGGGAGCTGCGGCGCTGCCTCGCCTGCGGCTACGGCTTTGTTGAATTCCTGCACCTGCCGAGCACAAAAGCCCGGCGGGCTCGTGCTGATGGGCTCCGCAGATATTTTGACTCCTTTTTGTTGCCGCGGCAGCAATATTTGGATCAGCTGAGAGCTTCCCTTCCCGAGCAGGAGATGATAGCTCAGCCCGCAGAGGCAGATCTGGGCTGGGAGCCTGTCTGCCAGTCCGTCCTTCCATCCTGCTGCTCGATCCCAGAGCAGAGAGGCAGCTCCATCCCACGCTGCTGCTCGTGCTCCTCACAGCAGCTCTCTCGGGAGGGGAGAGGCATCTTCTGTACCAGCTGCACCTTCCGTTCAGCAATTAGGGAGCCTCGTTAGAGCAGGAGTGGGATCTGAGGGTGGGGAGCGGTACAGCCTCGAAGCTGGGAGGGAAGGTGGTGGTGGCTTAGGGCAGATGCGTTCCCAGGGCCCTGTTTGCTGCTCAGGGCCAAAACGCCATCGCTGCCTGTCCCCACACCCCTTGGGGACCACCAGCTACTCTCTCCTCCAGGGCTGCTCAGGGGCACAACCCCCTCCGACATAGCCCTGGCCCTCCCAGTGTCCCTCTTTTCCAGTCTCCGTGGTCAAATCCCCACGTGCCACATGGAACATCCCACGGTCACCTTTCCCTTCAGCCAGTCTGGGAGACATGCTGCCCACAGCACCCTGCCCAAATACGACAAGAGCGTTAGCCATGCCTATTAATTAGCCGAGATACTGTGGAGAGTAAGTAATTTCCTCATTAACAGTCAAACCAAAGACAGGACCTTTGAGGGAGAGTAAGGCACACAAACCTCCATGGGTGCAGGCAGTTCTGTCAGCTGGCACGGGCATTGCCTGGCTGGATGCCGTCCATCCTCCTGCTTCGGCCTGGGGCTGCCCTCACACAGCACCTCTACTCCTGGCTCCCCGCCAAGAGGGCTTGCAGGGCAGGAGAACCCTGGATCATGGGTCACCATCCACAGTTCCGTGTGGGGCTGGATGATGGGGCTCACATCAGAGCGTGGCCCCCCCGTGCCCCGCGGCAGCTCATTAGTGGCGCTGTGAATCACAACGGCTGAAAAACTCAGCCAGAGCTGCTTTCTAATGGAGAAACACTTCATAATATTTGGTGTTGGAGAAGAAAACAAGGATCTGCTGATAGCAGCGTATCCTCCCTCACCGTCTGCAGGCCCTGCTGCCTGCATGGCTGCTGGCAGCACCTTCTCCTTCCCACTGCCCCCTCCGAGCACCTGAGCTGGGGCTAACCCCAGGTGCCTGGCCCAGGCACTGTGCTCCTATCACCACATGGAAAGCCAGGATTCTGGTGCTTCACAAGGCCTCAACCAGGGCTGAATCTTGCCCTGGAAGCTTCTCAGCCTTCTTAGCTTGTTCCTGTGAAGGAGTCCAAATGTTCTGGTGGTGGTGGGGGTGCAGAGGGGGTCTTGACACTGTGCCTGTCCCTGTCCTCACAGATGAGCCCGCAGGGGCATCCCTGCAAGATGCCGAGGCTATGGGGTGGGTGCTGAAATAATGAAGGGCTACCATGGGGAGCGTAGCCAGACACAGCCCTCCTCCGGCCACCGCTGCCGCTGCATCCCAGAGAACTGCGAGCATTCTGCCGACTACATCCTGCACGGCCCCGAGGGCCAGCCGCCGTACCTGCTCAGCCCCAGCGAGCCGTGTTCTCTGGAGCATCCCTACTGCCCGGCACGGAGCCCCGGCGTGGCCAGCGAGTG